AGTTGTGATGACGAACAAGTATCACGATTTAGTGTGTATAAAATATATTACATCGAAAAAGATTAACTGTTTCAGTTATATATGTACCAAAGAAAAAAATATAAGAAGAACTTAATACTTATACATGTAGTGAGACTATCTCTGCATGGATCTTTTTTTCATCTCATCTTGGTATTCTTTAGGATCTTAAAATTAATGTGTCAGTAGATATAAATGATAACAATAAATAGTGTAATAAATGAAAGGTAAGTTTAAGAAATAAATCAATTAATCATAAAGAAATATAATATAACAATAAGCAGTATCTATAAATATCATAAAATAAATACATATTAGTTATCAACACAACATGCTCAGAAAGACGTCCGAACAAAAAAAGCTATTGGAACGATGTCTCACTAGCTGAGACCGTTAGATGTCGCATCTCTATTGGTAAAGAGTAAACGCCCTATCAAATCTTGATGTCCGGAAGTGTTTTTTTGTTGCGGGGGGCCGACATGGGAACCTTTTCTGTGACCATTCATGTTACTCTCAAATAATTTAAATGAGTTGTTAATGTTTTTTTAGATCAATCTTGCTTCACTTTGAGAATAAAAAAAAATCACAGATTCTAGTGCGGTATACAAGGGATTCATTAAACTAAATAATTCTGCCTTACATTGAGTTCTCAGGGGACATTAATTCAAAACTTGACTTTAAATAAGGGAACAACAATATCCTCGTCGTGTATACATCCACACACACGCCCTCTTGGAGGATTGACATGGATACTGATCCGGGAGTGGTGGCCGATCTACGCACACTTGAATCCTAGTCTTGATGTCAGTCAAGCTGCCTCTCTTGGCGACGTTGATTCCGCCACCACGACCCATTCTTTGATTGATTCCACGCATGCACACAGGCACGTTTTATTACAAATCCAAGCCAACAAAGACGCAAGAGAGAGAGAGAGAGAGAGAGAGAGAGAGAGTTGGAAGACACGCATGAACGACTGGTCAAAGGTTCTTCTTAGGTGACATCTTAGTATCTATGACATGATCGTACTATTCTCGATGATCCTCGATGATCACTGGGTGGCCTCGTGCAGCTGCTGCTGCTGCTGCAGCGACTCCCTGATGTCACGGGCCTTGGACACCAGACGCTGCCGAACCTGCTCCAGCAGCTCCACCCCCGGCGGCTGCTTCCCCGTCAGGTCCTTGTACATCCACCACAGCACCGCCAGCGCCGCCACCCCCAGCCCGCCAGATGCCAGGAAGCCTGCGGCCAGCAGCAGGACGACGATCGCGGCGGGGACCAGCACCGGGCTGAAGATCATCAGCAGCGGCGTGGCCACCGCCAGCGCGATGACCGTCCACGCCAGCGTCAGCCCCGATAGCACCAGCAACGACATCCCCGCCACCGCTGCGATGACCGCCTTCACCACCACCTGCTGCTGGTCGCCCTGCCGGTAAGATTGATCAATCCCGTACTCCGCCATATTTTGTTCCTCCGTCTTCTTCGGAGCCACAGAAATGGACGAGATACATATAGGAGCGAAGAAATGTGAGGCGTGGAGGCGCACGTGACTGGCGGGGGGATCTGATGCGTGGTGGGTTGCATGGCGAAGACGCGACAAGTGGGGGGCGTCTCGGACGCGAGCGAGGGGCGAGTTGAAAGGTGGGGAAGAATGGAAGAGGCTGCCTTTGGGGTTGCCGAGGGCTGGTGGTTGATCGGGACTCGGACCAGTTTGAGTCACTGAACCCGTCACAACTGGAACCAAACGGCCACGTGGTTGGGTGGCAGACTTATTTGGGTTTGGTCCCTTGGACCACTTCTATCTGGATCCGATTAGCTATCAGATCGAACACGGATTCGAGATCCCCGGTAACATTGTACTCCTCCGTTTTCAGATCTATTCATACCAGATCCGACCCGATTATATAGGGAAGAAACGCTTCCTTTCTTCTTTTCTTCCCCCAATTCTTCTCATGGTTTCCGTCAATGTCATCTCTCTTCCTCTCCCTCTCCTCCTGGTTTTCTCCCTTTTATGGTATTATCGAATTTTGTTACCCGATGAATGATGGAGGTTAGTTAGGATCAACAATGTCCGACAATGAAGGTAGGGTTTCGATGAAGATGATCGTCATAAGATTCATGATGGCTTATTTTTCGTTCCCTTCGGAGTCCATGAGCTCTTGATACAGCAATAGGTCCCTTATCTTGAAACAGAAACCGTTGAATTATTTTGGATATCTGTTTATTTGCTTCTAGAATAAGAGTGGACATATCATAATTTTATTCTCTCGATGTCAAAGGGAATACAATGAGTTTAAATCTTGGGCAATTTACCTAACTAAAAAAAAACGTCCATAATAATGGGTTTTACTCATATTTGATTTTTATTCGAGAATTATCTTTTATTTTGATCAAAATATATTTTATAAATAAAAAATATAAGATGATTGAATAGATAGAAAAGCTTACGGGTCTAGGAATGGTTCTAGAGGATAACCTGTGTGTGGATCTTATATTTCAGTCCCTCCTAGATTTCTTTTCGTAATGCATTATGAATTTACCATGAATAAGCTTGAGGTGGCTCTCCATCAGCTCCTCAATATATTGAGGGAGATTGAGAGCATCATCAAGAAAAAGAAGTCGATTTTCTACGTTGGTGAGACCAGAAAGAAAAGGAGGGTCGAGAAGTCTTTTAACAAGGGCAAACTGGGTAAAGCAAAGGTTGCTAAGAAGGACCCAACAAAGGACAAAGGCCAATACTTCCACTACAACAAAAACGGGCACTAGAAGAGGAATTACAAAAAGTACCTTACAAAAAAGGCGAAAAAGAAGCTTGGAGAAGCTTTAGATACATTCATGATTGATCTCAATTTATTAGAATATTATGATAATGCATAGGTATCGAATACCGATAATGCATCTCATATTTGTAATTCATTGTAGGTTTTGGTAAAACCTAGGAGATTGGCGAGAGGTGATGTGTGCTAGTTATAGGTACCCTGTAAACCAATCACATGAGTGATGACACATGTGACGTGATACACATTCTTTTTGCTTATTATTATTATGATATTTTCTCACTTTATATTGCTTATTCTATACATATATTGTGATGTCTGTGTATCCATGCAATTAGAATCAAATCATGATGAGATCATGATAATGAGATAATTCATCTTTAAACATAGACTCTAAATAATCTTAGTCATAGATTACTCGAGAGGGACATCGAGATAACCAGACATATTGGTGTACTGTATACCGTTCCATATGATAGAGGTGACTGGTCTCATAGTTGTTCATGTGGGGACACTAGGGATATAGTACAGATGCTCATTGGAGAATGAGTTTACTAATTGATCTGCTTATGGAATGTTGGATAGTTAATGATACTTGACGTCAGACAATGATTCTAGTCTCAATTGTGTGTTTGTTCCTTAGACCTGAGACACCAAAGATACTTTGTATGAGTACTCCATTCTTTGACGTCAAACTTATAAGTTTGGAAGTTTCAGATCTGGTATAGCTAGTTTGTGAGAGGAATATTTCATATATTCTTGCTTAAGCAAATCCCTAGCTAGGGTCATTCAGATTGAGAGAGAAAGAGTTCTCTAGGAGAATCCGATTAGAGCAAGACTCAAGTAGAAACCGTATGGGCCTGATAGCACCATGCCCGATATACAATATTTAAGGTATTTGATGGATGAGGGACTATATGTATATGATAATTAAGGATAGACATGTCCAATGGATTGGATTTCCTTGTATCGTTTTAAGACTACAACGTAGTGACATAGTATATCCATAGTCGAGGAGTTAAGTGAGTTATTATGAAGATAATAATTCATTGAGCCAGAAGGAATTCTGATCGGTATGACTCACAGCCAGCTCGATATTGGGCCTAGAGGGTCACACACATATGGTGGGTATTGTGACAAGTAGAGGTTCTAATATAAGATATCCTTTGGAGCCCCTATCTTATTGGATATTTAATAAGCCCCTGAATTATTAGATACTATGGATGATATCCAATAAAAGCCAATGAGAGATTATTGGATAGAGATCCACTCATCTAAGAGGCTTGGGTAGTTGGATAGAGATTCAGTACCCAATAGGACAGTATCCATTAGGGTTAAGTTGATAATGAGCCTCTATAAATAGGAGGGAACCAAATGGCCATAGGCTGAGCCTTTTTGGCTGCCACCTCCTATTCTCCTTAACCAGTAGGTATGGATCATTACTGCCATATGGATCACCACTAGAGAGGAGGACATTTGACCTTGTTAGGATTAAGAGTGGCATTAAGATGGGTGGGGTGAATTAGTGCAGCAAAAAAAATCGATGATTTCAGAAAATATTCATTTCGATTAAATTTGTTTCAAAAAGATATTAAACTTGAAGGCATTAATAAAAGTGTAAAGACAAAGTTAAGGAAGATTGCAGTAATGTAAATTGCTTGAATAGAAATGCAAACAAGAATTTAGAGTGGTTTGGTCATTATGATCTACATCCACTTCCGATTCCTCCTCCGTCGAGGTTATCGACGTCCACTAATGGTCTTTCTTCAATAGGCAAAGATCAACCACCTTTTACAGCTCTGTCTCTTTTTATCGGGTTTAGAAGATAACTCTTACAAGCCTCACTCCTCTTTCTTAGATGATTACAAAGCTAAGAGAGGGAGGGGAGGACTCTTCTCACTTTTACAACACTTTAACACCCCAAGAATTCAATATTATGTTAACACTTTCGTGCCCTTTCATACAGAAAAGGGTGAAGTATTTATAGGCCTCAATGGCTTAAAAAATAGAGCTAAAAAATATCTCATTCTGATTTTTCGGGGTACTGGCGATACCACCACCATTATTGGGCAGTACCACCACCTGTCACTCTAACACTGGGCGGTATCACCACTTGATAGACCTAGGAGACCTAGCTCTAGCGGTACCACCGCTTGACAAGGGTGGTACCACCGCTAGTAGCATTAACTGTCGATGGTACCACCGCACAGTCTGGGTTGTACTACTATAACACCCCATTTAGTCCCACATCGGAAGTGGGCAATGACTATGATTGGCTTATATGGGCTTGATGATTATACCATGTTAACTCCCACTTAATCATTTTGGCCCGTGGTTGAAGGACCAAAATGGAGTTATTGGCCAGTTTGGCTCATTAGACTTGGGTTGTGATATTTGATATTAGAGTCAACCTAGCATCGTGAATGGAGTTAGATCCACGGCGTGGAGCCACCACTAAGTTAAACCTTATATGACGAGGACGTTAAGCTAATTGAGTTGGGGAAAATATAACACCCCACTATGCTCATCACGGCGTGGGCGGCTTATATGGGCCTGATGATACCGCCCAGAACACCTGGGAGACTGAGTCTCAAATAAGCTATTCAATCTGGCCCAATTCAGCCCTATTAAGGGCCTAGTTGACCCCTAACTGTACCTCCTAATTTTAACTCAATTTAAATTTTAACTACAATAATTAAGACATTCTTGTTCTAGTATGTCAATTGTTCTTCTGTCGAGCTTCCGAAATTCTCGGTTAGTTTCGGCAGCGACGAACTCTCGAATGCCCAACGAAGTCTCGATCTTAACTCCGGCATAACATTTGCTTTATGTCTTACTGCTATCATAGTTAATCCTGCACACTTTTCTCAACATATAGATTAGATCAAACAATTTATAATTGATTTCATTATCAAAATCCGAGATTCAACAATCTCCCCATTTTTTATGATGACAATCAATTGATACAGAGTTAACCTTAAACTCCCCTTATCTATTTGCTATACTTAAGAAAAGACATTCTCGAATTCAAGGCCTTTGAATTCAAGTATTAAATCGATAAGTTTAATTCATTTAAACTTATCAACATGCACTATCATGATTTAACATTCTCAAAATACGATGCAATGTATTTATCAATAAAAATGATGTCGAGGCATGACATCCATTTCAAGTTCAACATAGAAAGATGATAAACAACCATTACATATGATAGAAATTTCAAATATGAAACTTTCCAAGATTCAAATTTCAAAAAATGATGATTCATCAATCGGAGGCATGATTCCAATACGAAATAGTCATTTATCATTTTGATACGAAATCAAGCATGATGCTAGAATAAAATATTTATAAATAATCATGCCACATTATGATATGTTTCAAGCAAACATTTGATATTCTTCAAGTATTTGTATTTGACGATACCAATCATATTTCAAACATTCATGATAAGATACAAGTATTTACGTTAAGATACATTGCATACATTTATAATGCCAATTTGTCAAAACATACAAGCATTTACGATAAGATACATTACATATATTAACAATGCCAGTTTGTCATCAATTTGTCATATCATTTCTCCCCCTTTGTCATCAACAAAAAGGAGAACAATTCAACAATGCAAGTGTGAGAAAAATTTCAAGCAAATATCACAATAGTTTATCCAATTTGCATCAATAAAGAAGAGTGGCTAGGGTTTATATTTGGGTCTTTGGGCTTCCTAGCTGCCACCCCTTTACTGGGTTGGTTGGTTAGGGTTAAGGGCAAAAGGGGTAACTCACTTAGAAAGCAACCCCTAGGGCTAGGGTTTAGAGCCCTATATAAGCATGTAGCTTTTATTTCTTTGGGGATAAGATCTATCTATAATTATAGCCATTTGATCGACTTCTAGGAGGGTAAAACCCCTATAGCATTCCAAGGAGTGATCTCCCTTAAAGATCAATCTACATAGAATTCCTCTGGGGTTCTATCATCTGGTATCAGAGTAGCGATCTTGCTGCTTTTGCTGCCACCTTTGCCGCCCACCACCAGCCAAGAAATTTTC